CAGTGGTGTGATCTCAGCTCACTGCAACGTCCACCTCCCAGGTTCAAGCAATTCTCTGCCTCAGCCTTCCGAGTAGCTGAGATTACAGGCGCCCACCACCATGCCTGGCTAATTTTTGTATTTTATTTTATTTTATTGAGTTTTAGGTTTTGGGGTACCTGTGAAGAACATACAGGATTGTTGCATAGGTACATACATGGCAATGTGGTTTGCTGCCTTCCTCCTCATCACCTATATCTGATATTTCTCCCCATGTTATCTCTCCCCAACTCCCCACCCCCTGCTGTCCCTCCCCCAGTTCACCCCAACAGACCTCAGTGTGTGATGCTTCCCTCCCTGTGTTTATGTATTCTCATTGTTCAGCACCCGCCTGTGAGTAAGAACATGTGGTGTTTGATTTTCTGTTCTTGTGTCAGTTTGCTGAGAACCATGGTTTCCAGGTTCATCCATGTCCCTACAAAGGACACGAGCTCATCATTTTTTTACGGCTGCATAGTATTCCATAGTATATATGTGCCACATTTTCTCTGTCCTGTCTGTCATTGATGGGCATTTGGGTTGGTTCCAAGTCTTTGCTATTGTAAACAGTGCTACAATGAACATTCGTGTGTGTGTCCTTATAATAGGATGATTTATAATCCTTTGGATATATACCCAGTAATGGGATTGCTGGGTCAAATGAAATTTCTATTTCTAGGTCCTTGAGGAATCACCACATATCTTCCACAATGGTTGAATTAATTTACACTCCCACCAACAGTGTAAAAGTGTTCCTATTTCTCCACATCCTTGCCAGCATCTGTTGTCTCCAGATTTTTTAATGATTGCCATTCTAACTGGCGTGAGATGCTATCTCAATGTAGTTTTGATTTGCATTTCTCTAATGACCAGTGATGATGAGCATTTTTTCATGTTTGTTGGCCTCATATATGTCTTCTTTTGAAAAGTGTCTGTTCATATCCTTCTCCCACTTTTGAACGGATTTGTTTGTTTCTTGTAAATCTGTTTTAGTTCTTTGTAGATTCTGGATATTAGCCCTTTGTCAGATGGGTAGATTGCAAAAATTTTTTCCCGTTCTGTTGGTTGTCAGTTCACTCAAATGATTGTTTCTTTTGCTGTGCAGAATTTTTGTATTTTTAGTAGAGACGGGGTTTCACCATCTTGGCCAGGCTGGTCTTGATCTCCTGACCTTGTGATCCACCTGCCTCGGCCTCCCAAAGGCTTGAGCCACTGCACTGACCAAAACTACCTTTTTTCAATTTAAAAGGACTTATTTATTCAAAGATTATAATCTTCCAGGAGGGTATTAAAGTCATGAAATGAACTCAGTAACAGTCCCTGAGTGTTGTTTTTCTAATGTCCCTATTGGCAAACTAAGTCCCACTTTTGCCCACCCCAACAAGGTTTTATTGTTTTTAATATTATGGTTCTATAAAATCCATAAATCTGGAAGCTGCTACCTAAACAACTTTGAAAAGTTGAGTGGCAAAGGACATAGTGGTAAGTTATATACAATTTTCTTTTCAAGAGAGGAAATCAATGTCTGTGCTTGTAAAATGTTAACCGAACCACAAAATATCTTTTTGTGATAATTATGTTAACAACAGTGAGGGTGAATACAAGACTGAACTTTTCCATTCAGTGAAGACACATGATGAAAAACAAATCACATATGACTATTGTCTATGCCAGACTCCAATCTATTTGCTGTAATTCCGACAGGAGATGTACAGGAATTCTGTACTGCCCATGTTTTCAGAAATTAGGACTTTCAGTTTTCTTTCCCTCTCCATGTTTCTGCTGAGAACCCAGTCTTACAGTGTCATAAATAAGCTAAGACTTTTGGCAGATGTGCACTGCTTTGAATTGCTCATCTGTACCTATAATGCCTAACTATGAATCTCCATTATCCCCTTGGCAATTACATTAACTCCAGGCTGTGGCCTTCCTAAAATCCAGACAAATTACCCAATGCCCAGACTTCTTTCTAGAAACTAAAGAGAATACACCCACTCTAAAGTTTCAAGTCAAATCTTGTACTTTTTTCTCTATCTCTTTACATTTCAGTGCAGATGAATAAGATTTTAAAACGTAAAGGAGTTAATGCTTAAAGGCACACCCTACATATTGTGGATCAAAGGCCATAATTAAAGGATCGATTCTGAACATCGTGCTGATTTTGGAGCAAACAAAGTTCATTTAGTAGTTAACACTCAGAATCCAATCCAGGTATTTGTGTAGCTTGTGCACTGTTTTTCATGAAAGTACCTGGAGGAATGTACAGTGATTTACTAAAAATCATCTTTGCTATCAATTCCCTTGGACTGCTTGCTTTTTTTTTTTTTTTTTTTTTTTTTTTTTTTTTTTTTGGTGGTGTCTCTTCCCAGGCTGGAATGCAATGGCACAATCTTGGCTCACTGCAAACTCTGCCTCCCAGGTTCAAGTGATTCTCTTGCCTCAGCCTCCTGAGTAGCTGAGATTTACAGTCGTGACCCACCATGCCCAGCCTCCCTCGAACTTTTCTAACTCCTTTGGTTGCACACACCTCAAAAATCCCAGCAACTGCTATGGTGTGAAGAGATCTCACTTTGGGTAAAGTACTTTCCAAGCACTTTGGAAGGATTATTGAATTTAATCCTCATACCTCCCTGGGAGGTGTACACTTTACATCAGGCCCCTGTGACTGTAAAGGCAACTACTCAGAGATCACTTGGCCAAGATTACACAGCTAACAAGATCTGGGATTTGAACACAGGTCTAATCAGCTTTCCAAAAAACTAACCACTGCACTGTACTGCCTGTTAGGAAAAACCCATCAGGGGATAAAAAGATATTCCACTTAGTTTGTTCCAAACACATCAAAAGTTTAGTGACTACCCTTGGCAAAATACCAATGCCTCAGAATTATTGCCTTTCCTTACTGGCTGGCCCATCTGACACTTAACTGAAGAGCAGTTCTTTGCCTTTAGTGTGTAGCCTTCCAGAAGTGGAGGGCTTTGTTAAATTATTATGCTAGAGTCCCAACCAACAACTAAAACCTGGTCATGATTAATTGTTCAACAAATCTTATTTGAGCACCGCCATAATGAAGTAACTGTTAAGTAACTGAAATTGTGCTGTGGAGGACTAAATACGTGAAAGCCATATTCCTGTCCTCTAGGAACTCCTGGTCAAAGTCATAGTAAGAACAAAGACTGCTCCAGAAACAATAAGTAAAGTTACCTGATGATCACTTCTAACTTCCTTGTCCTTTTCCTCAAATTCATAATTTTCTGGGAAATGAAGAAGGACAAAATGAACACTGTTGAATAGTTTAAAAATATCTAGTGGAACGGACTAAATTGTCCTCCATCCCTTTTATCCTTCCTAGGGGTGGAGGAGAAAAATTTATATTTTTTCTCAGGCAAATCTAGATTAATGATATCAAATTAAGGGATCTGGACAGGAAAAACAAAAGAAACCAAACAGTGGAAGTAATAAATAGATTATAATGATCTGGCCCCAAGTCTATGTCTGTTTAATCCTAGTGGTTACATAGTTTACGTAGAGTTGCAAGACATGTGGGGGTAAAAAACTAATTCCAGCACCCCAAATACCATAATTAGGACTTCCTGATATAGCTTGCAAAGGGTGCTGGTAGGATCAACTTTCTAAGTTGGTACTCTTCATTCATTCACCCAATATTGATTGAGTGTTCACCAATGCCAAGGGGTAGACATTTACAGTGAGCAAGGAAGATATGCCCACAGCCCTCATGGAAGTTATAGTCTAGAAGGGAAGTCAATATTAGACAGTCACAAGCATATTTAAATACTGACAATGAGAAGCGCTATGAAGGGAAAGAAGAAGGTGTCTCTTAAAAGTTGACCAGGTTGCATATAATTATACTTCAAAATGCTGAGGGGGAAAGAAATTTGATAAGTGATCCTATTTAGATGAAGAGTTTAAAAAAAAAAAAAAAAAAAACCCTCTCTGGGAGATAGGAAAACAAAAAATATCTTTGCAGAAATAAATAGGAGTTAGCCAAAGAATGAGAACAACGTTTCATGAAGAAGAGATTATAGTTGTGTAAGCGCTGAGAGAGAAAAAATTTGACTTGTCATAGAAACTGAAAAAGCTAATGTAGTCAAGAAGTAGCCATCAGGGGAAGAGGGGAACAGAAACACAAGAAAATGTAAGGGCAGCCAACCATATAAACACACCTAAACCAAAAGTCTTTGAATGACTTCTAATAATGTCTCTGATACAAAATAATAACGACTATACAAGGTCCATATCTTAAAAAAATAAGCAATTAAAATACAATAAATTTTCAGAATTCTCAAGTGAAAGATTTGGAACTGGAAAGGCTCATCTAGTCCAATGAGCCCTACATCTTTCAAATGAGAAAGGGAACTCCATGCGCATGTGTGAGATGCCGTTATCCTCTCTGAATCTCCTTTCTCAAGAACCCACGTTCTTATAGCAGAGAAGAATCTTGCTTCTCCTGAAGGGTTTGCTCTGCACCACAGCATAACAATATCCTATACAAAAGGGATGTGAAAGCCACTGGCCAGCAGGTCACAGGATGTGGTACAATACTACCTCCCACAGCTCCTTTCAATATTCAAATGGATGTGGGTATCTATCTGCAAAGGGAGACTAAAAGAATTAAAAAAAGAGGCCAAACTGCACTAAAAACCCCTACAGAAGAGACATTTTACTTCACCCCCAATGTTACCTCTTCTTAAAACATGACAGGCGCAAGCATCTAAACACAAACAGAGCATGCCTCTATTCAGTCTTATTCCTGTTCTACGGAATTGTTCACTTGCCAAACAAACTGCCTGTTCAGAAGACCATTTGTAGTTACACAAATGAGAAAAGACTTCTGATTAAGGTGAACATAGTCATTTAGTTTCACCTTCTCCTAAAACTGCTCTAAAATGATTTTAAAAGACATTTTTTAAAAAAAGACAAACATACTTGGACATAAAAAATAACTGTAACATTTTGGAAACTAGAAAGCAGAAGAACAAGTGGTAACTGATCCAGCAGACCAGAAGCTGAGTCTAAACAGGCAGTGAAAGAAAGGTGAGCCACAAGACGGTTTGCCCCTGGGACTCCCAAGGAGCTTAGGAATGGGTGGAATCCAAGATCCCTTATAAATGGGGATGAAGGAGGGACTAAAAACAGGAGGACTGGTTCAGATCCCTTTAAAGAAGGACTTAAGAGTTCTAGATCCTCTCTCTGATTTCACATAGCTGGGCAACTGGCCCTGCCACCCTGATAGAAGACTACACCTTTTATTTTCTGTACTGAAGATCTCCAGGCCCATATTACAGCAAGAATATTGTACAGAAAAGGAGAATTTAGTGAAACTTGAGCACAGTGAATATTGAGAGCCCAAGCCCCTTTTCCCACTTGCTTCCCCCACCACTGAGGCTCAGGCTTACATTCTCCAGGTAGGAGCCTGAAAGATTCTTCTTTGGAATATCTGACCACTCCAAGAGAGAAAACCTAAAGGTATGATTATTGGGACCTTTCTGATAAAACAGCCAAACACCCATGGTGAAACACATAGTAGATAAATCTCACTCTTGCATGTAGAATTATGAATTAGCTTCATATGCCTCACTTTTAAATATAAATAGACAAGAATTGCCAGGCATCTGAGAAAAGTCATTAATATGAAAGACAGAAACCTAACACAGGAAAATATTTTTTAAAACTTAGGGTAAGCATCACTATACAATGAGATGAAAACCTAATACATACATACATGCACATGCACACACACACACACATGCACGCACGCGCACACACACACATTCACGCACCAAAGCACATCATGAAATTTCAAAAGGCTGGAATTGCCAAACAAGATTAAAAAAATCATCACCACCACCAGAAAAAGCACGTCGGATACATAACGTTCAGGATTAAAATAACAATGTTGCTTAGATAGCAACAGCTAGAAGCTTAGAAATAAATGGCATCATGACTCCAAAACTATGATAGGCAATTATTTCCAAGCTAAAATTCTATACCAACTAAACCATCAGTCATGAGTCCACTAAGTAAGATCTCAATGCACTTTGGAGTAAGCTAAAGAACACAAAGACCTGGAAGCCAGCAAGCATCTTATAGGAGAAGGGATCCCCCAGCATGATACTTCAGGTGATGACAGCCATGCAGCAGGGCTGGAAACTACCAGCCCAGATTGGAGTAGATCAGAAGCTCTGAGAGAATGTCACCAAGAAGATGAACTAGATAGAATTTTATAGCACACCTATTTGAAATTATTGAGGAGATTTATACAACTCAAGAGACTGATGAGTGAATGATAAAGACATAACAAACTAAATAAACGACAATATGTGACAATGATTAAATCAAAAGAAAGTAGAGTTGAATAAAGAAGAAATAATAATATGACAGTGATGAATGGTATTTATAAAGGCATAATAATATAAATACATGGATTCCACCCAAAATTAGAGCATTAACCATGTGGGCAGAATGAAGGAGCTGGGGGAGGTAAAGACGTGTCTTTGGGTGAATTGGGAGAGAAAACAGTGAAATCCTCAATTTCCAAAGCAGAAGCCAATAGATAATGCCTAAACCTAGAAAAATCAAGAAGTAGCTATGCAAGTACATTAATCAGAATGATGGAGGTAAATATGAAGAGAGAGAGAAAGGCTAAATACAGTAGTGGAAATGGAAAAAGCTAGAGAAAGAGAAGTTTGAGAGGGGATTTGAAGGGAGGGAAAGAAGAAGTTGATCCAACAACTACTGGTTTTCACATAATAGGCTGTATACGATTACTTGATCTTTAAAAAAAAAAAAAAAAGTTCACATATAACCCTGATAAAAATAAAAACTAAATAATAAAAAGCCAAGAAATATGGACTAGAATTGAATATTCACTTCTGTATCCCGTATATTATTAGAAAAACATGTATACCTGTATTTTATAGCAAAGGTAGTACCATTCTTTTTAAAGGACTATTCTGAGGTCTTCTTTAGCGTGAAGCACATAGAATGCAAAAAAAAAAAAAAAAATCATTCACCTCAGGTCATTTCTTGTACCTGGACATTGACACGACATGCTGTACAAAGAGGCTAATTTTTGAACAGTAACTTGCAAAGTCCATATCCTTCCAGAGTGTTTGACACTGACAGCCTTTCTTATTTTGTATCTTTTATTTATTCATAGCCCACCTTCTCCTCAAAGAAGACAGCTATCTTTTTCTTACATGGCAACTTTCTCTTCAAAATATAAAAATACACAGTGAGTTAGAGGATTATAGGATGCTAAAAAAACAGAAGAGCTAAAGAGTTCTTTGATAAAGGGTAAAAGAGGAGGAATGACTGGTAGAAATAACATTAATTTATTCTTTGTGTCCTAATATTTGGCTTGAATACGACATCAAATATTTATTCCCTAATGTCTTCCATGCAAGCTGAAAAGGCAAAGAGGCGTAACAAGTAAAATTCACAAAAATATCCTTTTTCTTTGTTATTAAGCAGTTCTTACTAAAAAGCAAGACATTTTTAAATGTACCCACTTCAAAATACATTGTAAGATTCTGTGACACAGGCATCAACAAATAAACCATAAAATCCTCCCAATCAAATTGAAATTTTTTTTTCATGAACTATATTTCTCAAGGCAAGAACACTTTGATAAAAAATAATGCATATTTTCTATTTTTTTTACTGCAATCTACTTACTTTCCAACCAACTTGCTTCGAATATTCTCTTGGAAGTTTGTACTTCAAGAGAGTGGTTTGAAAGAATTCAATATGCTATTTCAACAAAATGATAAATGTATTGTGAAATATATTATATTTGATTATCAAGCTAAAGCATTGCAAATGGCCATCACAGAATCCAAATTCACCCATAATATTCTAACCCCCAAAATATTCCTCTGAAGGAATACCTGTACATGACAAGCAGGATACCAAAGGATACCTGTACATGATACCAAAGGAGAACTGTACATGACAAACCTTTCGTGGCATCTGGGCCTTAAAAATTAAAGGCCATTCTGACTAAAGTATGTTATTTTCCAAAGGAACTTTTGTTGTTGTTACTGCTGCTGTTGCTATTTGAACTGACTAATCCTCAAGTGGGTTCTAGCCACTCTGAAGAATATTTGCAAGTATAAACATATTAGAATTGAAAGAGACCTTACATGCCATATAGTGCTTTTCCTCAAGATGCAAAACTTTGGTGCAGAGAAGTTGATTCCGTTGACAAACAACTCATGATTAATTCGGTCTCCTAGAACCCAATCTAGTGCTTTTTCTATAATAACACATCACACAGTCTATAAAACCAGTACAATTACCACCTGATACTTTCAGCAAACAAAATGAAAATATACATATTTTAATAGGTAGTTTTTATTTTTGTAGTCACACATAAGAGGATGTTATGTGTGAAACTAGGATTCTTTTTATTGTTCAAAAGACAGACTGTCCAATTATAGCAATTGCTGAACCAGAAATGTATTTTCAGTTTATTTTCCCAAATAAGGTTAGTGGTTTGTTTGGGGTGCACAAAGTATTACAAAATGGCATAGAGTAGGTGCTATTGCAGGGTTTTCTCCTGCTCCCACCAGACTACAAAAGGGCAACAAGTTGGAGGGGACAGAAAGGTTGGGAGCAAAATACAAGGAGCTGGAGAGCTGTTCTATCAGTTCAGCCTTTAAGATCCATCAATAGACCCTAATCACTGAGTGAAAGCCCTGGCAATTTTATCTACACTCCAGAAAATAATTCCTTGGACAGTTAAAAAACTGGAATATCAAAAAACTGATGATAGTTTTAGGTAGCACTTAAATGAAACACTTTTTTTTTTTTTTTTTTTTGAGACGGAGTTTCACTCTTGTCGCCCAGACTGGGGTACAGTGGCACAATCTCAGCTTACTGCCACCTCTGCCTCTCAGGTTCGAGCAATTCTCCTGCCTCAGCCTCCCGAATAGCTGGGATTACAGGTCCCCCCCATCCAACCACACCCAGCTAATTTTTTGTATTTTTAGTAGAGATAGGGTTTCACCATACTGGCCAGGCTGGTCTTGAACTCCTGACCTCCGGTGATCTGCCCACCTCGGCCTCCCAAAGTGCTGGGATGGCAGGCGTAAACCACCGTGCTTGGCCAAATGAAACACTTCTACATTTTCATCTGACCTTTTAAAAGAATATGATAATGATAGTTCAGGAATCAAAGTTCAGGAAGGAAATAAAGAGTAGACAAAGTCCAAAATGAGGAATATGCTCTTCTGCAACACACCTACTTAACCAGAAAAGAGTAAGTTGAGTAGGAAGAAATGCCAAGTCACTAATTTGTTTAAGGATCTTGGTTATTGGTTGATTCCATTAGGAATATGTCTGGCTACAAATAACAGAAAATTCATGTTAGGTGCTTTAAACAGGCATCGCCAAACCTAAAGGGCCAGAGAGTAAATATTAAGACCTGTGAGCCATACAGTCTCCGTTGCAATTACTCAACTCTGTCATAGCATGAAGGCAGCCACAGTCAATACATGGCTGTGTTTCAGTAACATTTTACTTACAAAAATAGGCAATCAGCCTATGGGACACAATTTGCCAACCAGTGGTTTAACCAAAATGCCAATCCCTGTTTTAAAAAAAATGGGACTTAATTAAAAAGAAGCTGGCCTTTTCTGTAAGGTAGTAAGAAGAGCACGTCAGCTCCAGATGTCACATTTCTGTTTAAGAAGAGGAAAAGGGAAAAGGAAGGTAGATGGGAAGGCTCGCTCAGCCACATGTGTCCCTTTTCACAAGAAAGCAAAAACCTTCCCCCAAAGCACCTCAAGCAGATCCCCTCCCCCACAAGATCACTGGTCAAAACCAAACAGCACGGCCACATCTAGTTGTAAGAGAAGCTGAGAAAACAGGGAACACAGGAGTCTGAGAGATTTAGACCAATCATGGTTCATTCACTGCCTGGGGCCAGACACATTGCTGCCTCAGATCAGGGTATTTTAGCAAGAAGGATAAATGACTATTGGGTGTACAATTAACACTGTTTGTCCTACTGGGCTTCATCTTTCATATCTTCTCTATTGGTTTAATCTGAACTAATTAGTCAAATGGAGATTGAGAAAGATTAAGCATGTTGGTGCTGGGGGTGGGGAACAAATAAGAGTGAATCTATCCTTAGCTACCTAAAAGTGGTGATTTAATGGGAAGGAGATGAGGAGTGAGAAAACTGAATGGCAGTCCTGCCAGCCCAGTTTTATGACCTTAGCCAGAACACTTAACCTACCCATGCCTCTGTTTCTCCAACTGGAAAAATAAAGTTGTTAAACTAGACGTCTCTAAGGTCCCCTGACACACTAACATCCTATGTCTCCTTTAAATATGTTGTCTGATCAAGCAAACATAGCATAACATATCCAGTTAAAATTTCATTCTAAAAATAGTAAAGCCCAAATCACAAACATGGAGGATTCCCAGGCAGAATAAAGTTTTAAACTAAAGAAGAAAAAGGATTTTATTCAAATAACTTTTCACACATTGCTAAAAGACTGGCATTCCATTCAACCCTTCCAATTTCTAAGAAAACACACGTGTAAGAAGGGTGGTTAACTTTTTAAAAACACTATAAATGTGTCTTGTAAAAATTATACTGTTTCTTACAACAAACTTAAAATAGTTCTCAAGTCCAAAAGGGTAACTGTTCTAGCTAGACGACTAACTGAGGATGCTCTAGTCACCCCCTCCCCGGCCACAACCCCAAATAAGCATTGCAAAAGATAAGGTGGCAGGAATTAGATTTACTTTTGAGATTCTCCCTCAAATAACCACCCTTTGAACAATGCACTGGAAATTAATCAAAACACAGTCGGGACCATTGAGGTTCCTTAAGAAACAGGCTTTTCAAAAGGAATCCAAATGAATAACTCTTCTGGCAGTTTGAGCAAAACAGGAATAAAGACGGAAGACAAGAAGAGAGGCAGGAAGGGAGAGAGTAAAAGCATTTTGAAGGAAAATTTTGTTTGGCAAAAATGTTCTCATATTTTCCCGAGAAATCTTCTAGTTTTATATCCATACAACAGAGATAATAAAAATCTTCAATAAATGTGTTATAATTTATCTTAAAAAAAACACCACAAACTGAAGGCTCTAACCCACCAAGAAATTAGTACAGAAAATTATTTTAGTTTAGTACCATTAACTTGGTCAAAGATTTGGAGATGAAGAAAACTAAAAAAAATCCATTAGTTTATTGTGTGGAAAGCATGTAGTCTTTTGAGATTTCATTAGCTGAGCAACAATTGTTTCCGTTACAACTTCTAAAATATACTTACGACTAAATTTGAACACATACATGAGAAAGCAGTCTTTTAAAACAGGCCAAAATAGCAGTCTCAAACAGAGTAATCAAATGATTACTGTATGGCCAGAGCAAAAAAGAAAGGAAGGAAAGAATGAAGAGATGGAAGGAGGGAAAAGAAGAGAGAAGGAAGTGGAGGGTTGCAGAGGGACCACCACACAGAGATGCAGGGACCGCTTCAGGTTAACAAGAAGCCTTCAGCTCCTGCACATTTAATAGAGAATACTTTATTCAGTAACTGATACAACTCCACTGGAGTAGATAAGAGATATCCTTCCAGTAAAAATTCTCCAAGGATTCTGCCCTGTAATAGAACAGGCAGCAGTTCTCAATCCTGACATACCAAAGGGGTTAGCAGGAGTTTCCCCGAAATGCCCATTCTCAGACAGATGAAAGAACTTCCTTTGAAAAATGCTGGAACTTTTCACCTCTGCAAAGCCTGTTTCCCTACATATTGTCCTCCGTGGCCGTCTCAGCGTTTTCATCAGCTCCCAGCCTCTTCACCATTTGTCATTTGCACCCACATACAATAGGAAAACACATTTTCAGACATGCCTCAGCATGTCCAGGATGGGATGCGCCGTCACAACTAAGCCGCATTACACGAAAATGTGTGAAATCCATCGCTTGACCCACTTACATGGAAAGACGCGTACCACGTTTAACCTGAAACGTCCTAAACACTTCTCATGGGCATTTCCATTCATGTGGCTTCATAATATCAATGATTGAGAACTGAAGAAGGTTTGGGTCATATTTATTTATTTATTTATAACCCTCATGTCTCTCAGTTTCCTCGCAGGAACCTGTGACTCTTGTATAGCATAGTAGCTGTGGCCCCACGTTGGAAGGAGGTATGATCAAAGGCAGCCTGGCCAGACTTGGGAAAACATTTCCACTGAGAATGGACATACTGCCTGTCAAAAGGTTATTCCCACCGCGTTGGGGCAGCAGATCACGTTACTCCAGAGTAACAACATGAAAGGGCAGAATCTGGCCATAGTCACCCACATACGTGTTTTTCTTTCCAACAAGGGCAAATGGGAGACACCAGCCAGGGCAGAACATCCTTCTTATCACTTGAGGGGGTCTGGGGGTGGGGAGGAAGCCTTTCCCTAATCAATACAGCTCCTAAGCCGCAGCCACTGTTTAATGCCTTTTATATTTTTCTTTTCATTCAGAAACAGCTCACATTCAGCAAGACTTTTCTGTCTTAAACTTTTTTTTTTAAACCCAAGCAATCACAAGCTATATTCTGTGGAAGACAAAATAACTTTGGAGGCGTAAATCTTAATGTCAATGACAGGAAGGCTTTGGTGAACCATTACCATAAATCTGACAAACGCTAATTTGATGGGTGGCTGTATCTGTCTGCTGCACGGCCAGTCTAGACAGTCTATTGAGAAATCCTAAAACACAACTGTTTGTTCCCTGTAACACCATCTGGATATGGCAATAAGCGCCGACCCAGCGCCATTCACACATGGATCAAAGCACATGCTAATGCTATCATGAAGTCATACACATAAAAAATTCAATCTGAGAACTCGAAGCAATTTTCCTAAGTCTTCAGTGAAGAAACCCCAGACTTAGTGCGACTCAAGCTAAGTGCGCAAAGGGGGAGAGGGGGAAAAAAGGAACTGAATATTTAATGAGCTTGGGTTTCCAGAGGAATGTTAGGCCACCCATTGTATTGGAAAAGGCTCATGTCACACTTCAGTCATGGTACCCGTCAGGGTGCCCCTTTACAAAAATTGATCTGAAGACCTTTGTAATTACCTGTTTCAGTCAGGGGTGGGGGGCTGGGGGAGTGGATTCATGACAAGAAATAAAAGAATGGATCCAAGGTGTAAATCTAACATTACATTATATTGGTCTGAGCTGGCAGAAATTTTCAATATTGCACACAATATTAAAAACCTTTCTCATTAAACTGCACTGTGGCATTAGATCAAAGCATCAAGGGCCTCCTATTGAACTCCTTTAAATATTACAAACATAAGAGCAAGTCTGGCTGTGCATAAAATAGAAACAAAGCCAATTTTTTTTTTGTCCACCCTCATCCTATAGCTGGCTGGAGGGAAACATTGCTTGAGAAATCTGCAAGTCAAACAGGAAGAAACTTTACTTCTCCCAAATATTTAATTTAACAAGGCATAAATGAATACTAGTCTCTAGGATTTCACTTTTGACAGAAAATTTCCAGTAAATATGTTACTCTTTCAAAACTTTAAGCTACTCTTTCAAAAAGTATCACTCAGCAGCACTACCTCAATTGCAAACCATACAGACACTGGTTTCATCCTCACCGCCCTGTGATCCAAACTTCTCAAGGAAATAGAAAGTTCTTATTACACGGGGGCTTTATTCCACTACGCACTTCTAAAGTAACTTTGACTCAGTGCTTCTTGGCTGGCTTATATTGTCTATCAGTATCTGATGGAAAAACATAACTAACAAATATCTGACGAATTTGTTATTACTACACTTATCTCTGTTTGCTGGGAGACACTGCATATGTTATGTCCCAAATTTCCACATACTCAGCATAAGCTACGCGCA